AAAAAGCACCAGGGGAGGCAGCTATCACATCTGCCTCACTGAGGGGGATGTGTCTAACACGCCCCCCTCAATGAGGCCACGCCCCCTCCGTGAGGCCACGCCCCCCTCAGTGAGACCACGCCCCCTCAGTGAGACCACGCCCCCCTCAGTATGTGACACGAGCCAGTGCCTCCCCAGCCATTGACCTCACCGCACGTCACTGGTTGACATGCGCTGCGAGGTAACCATCCGATGGCAGCACAACAATGGATTTTGAATCCATCTGTGTGGAGCTGTCCATGTTATTCCCTCGCGTTCTCCGGGCTCTCTGGTTTTTTTAAAAATCCTTTATATTAAGTTCGCTTGCTTGCTTAGGACCGTGCAAATCTTTCGGTCGTTTTTTAACCCACTTCCCGTGATCCAATCGAGCTGACATTTTCCACACAGACTCGTTGTGCGTGACAATTAATGTTCGTGAATTTTTTTTCTCCAAAATTTTACACTTTTTAGGACAAAAATATTATATTTAATTACCAATTGCTTAATGGTGCAATGCAATCATCTGACCCATAGGTGGCAGCCATCTCAAGCCAGATGACGAGAGGACTCTAGCCGCCACGCATATAAAGGATTTATAGTGAAAAACTTTGTTTTTACTGGTTATACTTATTTCCACCTGCACGCGAATTCAACGCGACGTAGCAGCAGGGAGCTCTCCAGAAAATGCTCTCGAAGACTCCAGAGGAAATCATTCCCATCACGGCGATGACCACGGGTTTAACGCGGCAGCAACGTTAGTCGGTGTGGTTTTTTTTTGTTAAATATCTCGCCAGCCGCATTGCGAGATTTCATTGCGTGAGATGTCATCCGCCTACAATTCACGCGCGCGCACTTCGAGCGCCGCCGAGCGCGCTTTGAAATGCGAATACAGCGGCTGTTTAGTCATTGTGGTGGCGGTGATGGTGGTTGTTGTTGTTGTCGTGAAGAGCCGGGAAGTGGCGTTCGACTTCCCACTCATCCTCCCACCCTTCCTCCAGTGCGTGGACCGGTTGAGTCATAGCCACTGTGACTCAACACACGCGCTCACCACTCATTCAGACTCGTACTCTCACGCGTACCAACTTACACACAACACAAATGTCCCCCGTGTAGCCTTAACAGACTTTTGGGGCAAAGTGCTGTTAGCGAGCACCTACGAAGGCAGGCACGGCACACGAGGCGCCCAAACGCATTCACCGACACGAGACCACCAACTCACATCCCGGGCAGCTGATTCGACAGTGATTCTCAAGTTCCGGCTCGGAGTTCTGAAATCGGGGTGAATCTTAAGACCAAGTATGTATCTGTTAGCAGAGAAATACTAAACAGAGATTATACTTAAATTTTGATTTAAAGCTTTCGTGACTGCAGGGATTCATATTCTTGGTTCTTTCGGTAAAGTCACGTAGAAGGGAAATAATAAAATAAGATAACTATAAAATAAAAATTCTCACGACGTTTCGACTGCAATACAAGCAATCATCATCAGGTGATGATTGACTTTACCGAAAGAACCAAGAATAGAGAAATACTTGCAACCTAGCCTGGGTCTGATCCTGCATCTTCTCTAGTGTTTCCAATCTGCAAACGAATCGTCACCATCAACACCATCAGCGACGATCTATCCACCGCTGAATAAAGGTCTCCTCAAGTTTTGACATCTCTCACGCTACTGAAGATGCAACACTCTTTCTGCCACCAGCGTGGACGGCACCATGTTTGCCACGTGACTTTTCTTTCGTGTTGTGCGCAGTGCTTTTTAGCACCACAGCGCGTGGATTTGCAGCGTTTATTTTCATTTGTTTGCTGGTGACTTTGTGTATTTCATATCGAAATCGTCTCCAGTACTTTTGCTGCTGGCGGAAATAAAATTTGTGTTAAAAGTCAAAAGTCTTGCACTTGCTCCCGAGCCGATCCATCGCTCCATCTCTGCGGTGCACCTCCTCTTAGTCGTGTTCCATATTTCGGCTGCCACGCCATCGGTCGTCTCGGTCGCCAGGCCATCATTACATCAAGCGAAGGGTCCCCCTACCCAAACAATCAATATGATACTCTTTGGTTATTTTAATACAGTCACGTAGGTTTAAAATAAAATAAATCACGACGTTTCGGGCGCAACACAAGCGTCGGACGCGCGGAAGAACCAAAGAGTATGGATTGCTGCAGTCACGAAAGCTTCAAATCAAGAATCAATGTTTCTCAGTTGCGTTTGTCTGATCTGTTTCTTTCTTTAGCTCGGCGTATTTGCCAAGCATGCATCCCTGCCACGAGACACTTCCCACGTTTTTCAACGTTTGCTCCATTTTGTGTCAGTACCCATATTACTCTCTGAACAATTGCCAGTGAAGCAGTGCTCTGCCGATGTCTTGCCACGTGTATCTGCAATATACAGGGGCGCCCGTGCGACGACACCGCGTTACGTGTTTAGAAATGATCAGGTGCGTGAAGCGTGTACCTTCATTTGTATTTGAATGGAAATAAATAACAATATAATTTTTGTATCATTACGCTTGTTTGCCCAGGTAAGTATCAACGAGTCTCAATATTGAACTAGTCTTTACAGTCAGTCGGGGGTGATGATTGTCTCCCAATTAATGTTATTTGCAAGTATTTTTACTGGTTGGAACCTCCTGGTTACACCAGCCCACAGGGGATTATTGTGTCCGTCCGTCCGTCGTGGAGGGAGGGGCTGGGTGGGGAGGGTGGGGCTGGGTGAGGAGCGGAGGGTGGGGAGGGGCTGGGTGGGGAGGGGTGGGGCTGGGTGGGGAGGGGCTGGTCACCCCGTGGTGCCCTTATAAAACTCAACGTTTAACCTACTCACGCCGGCTTGTGCCCGCCCTCGCAGTCGGGCATATTTGCGGAATACACCACGCCGCCGTTGACCTTGGCCATTGACCGAGCAACCCAACGTTCCTACCAGCTCCCTCCGCAGGAATGTTTTAAATGTGGAAAATTTGGACCACGACACACAATGCAATCTTTTTTTTCGAACATCACGGGGGTATTTAACGTGCAGCGTGGAGCAGACGGAGCGCCGTGTGTACGGTGAATACCCTCCACGTTCTCCACATTATGAGCCTCTGAAACCAGTGGCGAAGCCATTTGATATATGGTTCCTCTCTACCAGGGGTAGGGAACCTTTTTTCTGCCAAGGGCCATTTGGATATTTATAACATCATTTGCGGGCCATACAAAATTATCAACTTAAAAATTTGCCCGTCTTATTTGGTCAAACATTTCATTAACTCACCCCTAATGTGATGGCTGGAACTGCTTCTCTTTGGCGAGGCGTGTGATGTTAGCTGGTATTGATGATGATGTTGCTGCTACTCGCAACTGCTTTTCCAGGTTTGCTCCTAGATTTATTGAATTTCGAGTCCCGCCTGCGGTTGCCTTGGCAGGGCCACACCAACATGATTTCGCGGGCCGGACGTTCCCCATCCCAAGCGTGTCCTCACTGCTGCCTTTGTGATGCTAGATTCCTGTGAGAGACGAGAGAGATGGAGGCGAGCGAGGAGGGAGGAGAGGCAACAAGGATGAGGATAAGAGACGGGAAAGCGGGAGAGAGAGAGAGAGAGACCCGCATTATTTCTCGCGTAATAACAACACGCAGCTCGCCGGCTTCCTGCTGCTGATGACAAGCGCCTCTCAGCGCATCACGGCAAAAGGTTAAGTGCGTCCACGCACATCTCTCCCGGAGAGCGTCTCGGCCGTGCGTGTGTAATGTGTCGGTGTGTGCTGGCCCTGGGCCTCCCCTAGGTCCACTCGGCCACAACAGGAGCACGTGGCGCAATCTGTAAACATCGCCACGAGGGAGACAAGGGCGGTCGGGCGTGGGGGATCTTTGTCATTCTGTGCGCTTTTAGTGCGTGTACTGTATTGTGTGTGTACCGTTTAGTACGTGCATGCGATGTGTGTCGTTGTAATGAAACATCATGGGCCAAGTTTGACGTGGCCTCTATGGTACAAGAGTTGTTAGCAACACAGGACTGATGGAGTGGAACGTACACTTCGGATGAGAGGGGGGCGAAGGGAATTGAGATGGGAGGTCTCGCTGTTTGTTGAATGGCTTCGGTGCGTACAGGATGTGACTATTTCGACGTTGGATTAAACAATGTGTTATGTTGACTGAACAGCGTCGATCAGGTGAGATGGCTGATCGGGTCATCAGCCTCACCGGCACAACGAAGTCAGAGGACGCACACACTGGGAGGCACACACTGGGAGGGAGGGCCAGGTGATTGATGAGGGGGCATGGGGAGGATGAGGTCAGAAATGGAGAGATGTGGTCAGCAGCACTGGGGCTGGATTGTGAATCCTTAATCTTATTTCCTTTGCAAATACATCACTTGCCCTACGACCGGTAATCAGCGATGTCAAGATCGGCCTCGATGGAGGTTCATACTGGTAGGAACCTCCTGGTTACACCAGCCCACAGGGGATTATTGTGTCCGTCCGTCGTGCAGGGAGGGGCTGGGTGGGGTGGGGCTGGTCACCCCGTGGTGCCCTTATAAAACTCAACATTTAACCTACTCACGCCGGCTTGTGCCCGCCCTCACAGTCGGGCATATTTGCGGAATACACCACGCCACCGTTGACCCTGCAGGCCATTGACCGAGCAACCCAACGTTCCTACCAGCTCCCTCCGCAGGAATGCGTTAAAGGACGCAGGCTACTGGGAAGTTTGAGGCAGTCGCCCTCCAGCAACAGCAGAGCGCCGGGCGGATAAGACGCAGAAAGTTGGCACATTGGGGAGGACATCTGTTTGGTCCGTCATCTCAGTCAACCGAAAGATACCTGCGTGTCTACCGTTCCCTTCCGACAGCGAGCCTTCGACACTTCACGCGACATGGAAGTAGTGCATCCAGCCTGGCACAAGCAGTGGTGAGGTCACCGACACTTCGTGAATAGCGGCTGCTGCTAGCTTGTCGTCACGTCCATACGTTACATGCATCACGTTCTCGAATAAAACACGACCGGCAATCACGTGTCACGTTTATTATTGTACATACAAGCGTGAGCTCTGTTTATGTACAGTGGGCAGGAAGTCGCTATACCCCATTACCTATGAGTCATGACAGCTCTTAAGACAAGGGTATATTGACTTCCCACTCGGTCTCTGTGCGAGCCTCATAACGTGAAGCCTATATTCCTTTATACACGGATTTGTGTGGTTGACATTGACTCAGGCTGCACTTGCTTGGGCTCGTTAAAACAAGACACACAAAACTCACGGTTATAAAAACAGATGCGATAAGATGAACTGTGAACACAACGAGGGAAATACACGAGAGAACGCAAGAGACGTGATATTGACCGCGAGATGAACGGTGGCGCTCGGCTGGAACAGGACACGTTCATGCAAAGTGATGTTGGTCGGTGGTTGAGACTGACGTTGGTTTGCCAGCCAGGCAGGTCATCCTACAAGAAGATGGAGGCGTTGCAATCGGCTCGTGTGCAGATGCTTCCCAGGTGGTGGCTTGGGGAAGCCTACATCCATCCAACAGTGACTCGACCATGGCTGATGAAGTCAGTGGAGCACAGCGTTGATTTCGGTGGTTGTGCAGACGTCCGCGGCGATGGTAAATGAGCGGTGTGGGAATGGGAAACAGTTGAATGTGGACACGGGTAGGTGAAAGGAAATTCACGTCGTAATTTGGGTCAAAGGTCATATCGATGTTATTTCTTCCTCCCCGTTGTGGTAAATGTGCTCTCGTGGCTGCAGGGTTTATGGGTACCCAAACATACACCAAACACGAACCAACAGTCAAGTTTTAATGCGTGTATCGTCAACAGAAGAACGGATACTACCAGTGAACTAATCGATGCTATCGTTCAATGCATAAGAGGATGAGAAGGGTGGCCTTGCAGCCTGTTGTTACGTGTGTGTGAGACCTCTGTGGTGGCTAACGTTTTGCACGGTGGGTGTGCATTTGATTTGAATGCTTCCGTCCACTCCGCTCCTCTTCTAAATTGATCGTATCTTCTTCTTCTCGAAAAACAGGACGTGCTGATTGACTGCGAGCGGGTGGAGAGATGGCGTAGAGAGGGGGGGGGGGGGGCAAAGGTGTGGGGGGGGGGGGCAAGGGGAGAGAAATGAACGCTGTTCACCCAACGCAATTACAAGATAAAGTGAGCGCCGCAGTGTGACTCAGCAAGCCCCACTCAGCCCCACCTCCGGTCGAGGCTCGGCATTCTAAGAATAACAACGACCAGATTAGTAATCATCCGCTCAAACGGTGTGACCGATGCCTAATACAAAACCGCATGTCAAAGAATAATGGAGAGTGCGTTCTAATATAATGCGTGCGTACATAAAAAGAAAAACCTCAAAGTGATTTGTTACTTAAAATAAGCAATGAGGTGGTACTCATCTTCTGTTTACAGTCCTGAGCCAGTGGTAGAAATTATACATTCCAACAGCGGGGGTGAGTCTCTCCACAGGACAACGACGGTTGACTTCACAAATTACTGCTAATTACATTACAACCATTGGCCAAATCGCGCCCCACTAGCGCACAGCTACGAATGCGTTAACCCGGCGTGTGCGGTCACTCGACCCGGGGGGCGTGGGAGGGGAGGCACTTTCGAGGAATCGCGGAATTGGCGACGGAAACCCGCACGGTTGGGGGTGAATTAGCCCCGGGCGCCGAAAGAGCGCTGCCATGAACGCTGCATCACAGCACAACACGGGCGTCTTGAGGTCACCACATAAACACACTTGGCCCGCATTACCGCTATTAGGACGAACTGGCTCCCACCATGGAAATGTTGTATTCTATCCAAATGGCTCAGAGACACCAATAGGGGTGATCACTACCTGTGGTTTGTTAGAGGAAGCAGACACTTTGGATACTATTGTTTTTTTAACAGCCGTATGTTACACCATTGGAACCTCATTTGCCAGTAAAAAATATGACAATTGCTTTTTTACCCTTCTATCTGGCAACAAAACTAACACCTTTTTTTACAAGGAGTAATGTTTGCATAGACCACAATATTTGCAGCCATAATGCAAACAAAAACATAACTCTGATAATATATGCACTGTCCTTGAAGTTGATTGGTCCACACCCGAGACAGCTTTCCTTAGAGCCTAGTCTCACATGGGTTGGACCAGATGACGCCAAAAGGCGCACAACTCAAAGACAATGCACCATCAGAGTATGAGAGCTAGGGGGAAGCATTTATCAGAGTTATGTTTTTTGTTTGCATTATGGCTGCAGGTATTGTGGTCTATGCAAACATGACTCCTTGTAAAAAAGGTGTCAGTTTTGTTGCCAGATAGAAGGGTAAAAAAACAATTATCATATTTTTTACTGGCAAATGAGGTTCCAATGGTGTAAATGCTTACCCCGAGCTCTCATACTCTGATGGTGCATTGTCTTTGAGTTGTGCGCCTTTTGGCGTCATCTGGTCCAACCCATGTGAGACTAGGCTCTAAGGAAAGCTGTCTCGGGTGTGGATCAATCAACTTCAAGGACAATGCACATTATCAGAGTTGTGTTTTTTTGTTTGCATTATGGCTGCAGGTATTGTGGTCTATGCAAACATGACTCCTTGTAAAAAAGGTGTCAGTTTTGTTGCCAGATAGAAGGTTAAAAAAACAATTATCAGCCGTATGTTAGTTAGCTAGGAGGCCTTGCTTTTTAGGAGGGTTCTATCCAGGCTGTTGGCCCAGTAAATCACAGTGTGGGTCACTGTGTGAGTCGCAGTGTGGGCTATAGTGTGGGCTATAGTGTGAGTCACAGAGTGCATCACAGTGAGGATCTCAGTGTGGGTCACGGTGTATGTGGTAGTGTGAGTTGTCGTGCAGGTTGCGGTGTGGGTCATGGTGAGTCATAGTGTTGGTCACAGTGTGGGTTGTAGTGTGGGGAGCGGTAGTGTAGCGGTTAGCGCGCTGCGCTATGAACCTGGCGACCCGGGTTCGATTCCCGCTGACGGCTAACACCAGTGACGATTATCTGAACCGGTCCTGGGCCTCCCCTAGGTCGACTCAGCCTTAAATGAGTACCTGGTGCGGTGTGTAAACATCGCCACTAGGGAGACAAAGGCGGTCGGGCATGGTGCTGGCCACCCACCCCCTCGTGTACCGTTCCGGCCTTCATAGGTGCTCGCTAACAGCACTTGCCCCTACAGTCTGTTCAGGCTATACGGGGGATCTTTGTCTTTGTCTTTGTTGTAGTGTGGGATTAGTGGGAAAGTGGTGTGGGTCATGATGTAGGTTGTATTGCGGGTCGTGGTGCATGTCATCTTGTGTGTGGTGGTGTTGGCCATCTTCTGGGTCGTGGTATAGACCACGGTGTGTGATATGGTGTTCGTCAACCTGTGAGGAATAGTGTGCCATGGTGTGAGTGGCGGTGTGGGTCATGGTGGGTGCTGTGATGCGGGTCACATTATGGATCACGGTGTGGGTCATGGTTCGGGTTACGGTGGGGTCGTGGTGTGGGTTGCGATGTGAGTCACAGTGTGGGTCGCAGTATGGGTCACGGTGGGGGTCGTGGTGTGGGTTGTGGTGTGGGTCGTGGTGTGGGTTGCGGTGCGAGTCACGGTGTGGGCCATGGTATGGGTCAGGGTGTAAGTCACGGGATGGGTGAACTGGGCCGGAAATTACCGACGGGGTCATTCTTGCGCATCACCATCTTCTCAGAGAGACGATTCCTCTTGGCATTGAAGCAGTAGCCGGTGCCGGCAGCGCTCAACATCTGCACCAGCACCATCCTGCAAGCACACATGGTTAAATTGGAAACTGAATCTCGAATAGTTGCTCATTGGCCATGAGGTTACCCACAGCCTTGCGATCGAGCTCACGAACACTGCAATGAACGTACGTGTGGAGCACACACCCAGACAGCACGTAGTGGCATCCACCCTTCGCACTTTACCCCTCTGGTTGCTCCTGGCACGGCCCCCAATTGAGCCCCCTTGCCCAGTGGTGTCTCTCGTGGCAAAACTCCAAATCAAGTCTGAATCAGAATATTTACTTAGACTGGAGGAATCCGATGAGTTATGAAGCTCTTTCTACAGATGTCCAGTATGGGCAGGTCAGTCCAGTATAGATCTGATGTAACCACAAGAACCCTGGCCTCCTCTACCCATGTGCACAATGTATAAGACTCGTACGTACACACGTCTGTGGCGTGCATTCAATGTGAGCGGATAACGGACATGGTGTGCGGTGTTCGTGCAAGGTGACGGTGAAAGTAGTGGACACGTTGGAGATGGACAAGGTGGTGGCGGCGGGAGAGGAGGTGTTAGCCACGGCGGTGGTCATGGCGCTAGGCGTGGTTACAATGGCGGTGGTGGTCACAGTGGGGGGTGGTGGAGATAGAAGTGGTCGTGGGTATAGCGGAGGTGGTGGACACGGAGATGGTGCTGGTGGCGGTAGAGGCGGTGTCTCTCACTTGGATTTTGCTTTCGCCACTGCAAGAGAGAAAGACAAGAAGATGCACATTAGCGGGCGGCGGGCGCTAAGAGCACCCAAGTGAACAAGGAGTCCTGCCAAAGTGCCGGTGTGTTCGGGGTAAGAATTAAGAGAGATAAATCTGGCATTTTCCTGGCTATTGTGGTTCGGGTCGTCGGCGGGAGGCCTCGTGGGGTGAGCTGGTTCAAGTTCGCGAGGTTATTCCGCCCCCCCAAAAAACGGCCGGAGACCCCTTCACCATTTCGAGGTAGTTCAATCTGGATTTGAGGTTTTCGTGACCGCAGGGAATCCATACTCTTTGGTTCTTTCGGTAATTTATTTTATGTTATACCTACGTGACTTTACCGAAAGAAGCAAGGAGCATTGTGACTTGCATCCCACTGGGATTTTTGCACACAGCGTTGGTGTACGGTTTTTTTCTGCAATATTTTGCTGTCTTTTCTTGGATTTTATGTTTGCACTTAGTCACATATTCACTTTAAGATGTTTTTTGTTCATGTTTTTGTTTGTTGCGGTTGCACCCGATTTAAGAGCCGAATGGCTCACAGGGCTATACCTAATAAATGAACTTGAACTACTTGTATTTCCAACCACAAGTCTTTCAACTGGGCCAGCTACAAAATCACCATCAAGTCGTCCTCCTCCTCATCACTGAGAATCAAAGCACTCCAGGGTTGCGCTTTGGACCTCACCAGGGGGCGACACGGGAGGTCAAGGCAGCAACATGCAATGTCCCCGAGAGGTGTTTTGGGTCAGATCGCGTAAATATAAAAGCGTCGCTGAACCCGCCACCACCCGGCAGCCAATTAGTAAGGTGTGCTCGCGAAACGTCTGACTCAAATTGTAAACATTGTGGATGTACTCTCCAACACACGGTGTGCTGCACTAGTAACGCATTTTCATATTCTTAGGTTTTTTCGGTAAAGTCACGTAGGTAAAAAATTAAAATTAATAAAAGTAAAATAAAATAAAAATCACGACGTTTCGGAGGCAACACAAGCTTCCGTCTTCAGGTGGAACCGTCACAGCCACGACAGCCGTATCAAGTAAATGAGAGATTACAGGAGATACCACTCCGTATATATAATGGATGGAGAGGGGGAAGGGCCAAGTACAGCACACTTTTTATTCATATGGTAAGGTGACGCTTAAGAGGGTGAGCCTTTGTTATGGAGAGGTACGGTTTGTGACCAACCTGTGACAAGGAGACAACCACTCAACATGGTAAACCTGTAATAATAGTCTGTCAAATAAGATTGGCCAACTAAGTGTAGTTAAATATTTTTTGCATGGTTAATCACATCTTTCCAATGATTACTCAGTAACGCATTGGCGTGTTCTGTTTACTTGACCTTACTAATTGGCTGTGTCGGGTGGTGGCGGGCTTTACGACACATATTTACGCGATTTAACCCCCCAAAAAAACCCTCTACTGTGGATATTGGTCACGAAAGCTTGACTACGTGTTAAGCTAATACACACACATTGTACCGAACCTGCACCTTCTACTATCGCCCTCACGGGCCGGACGACCACCTCAGGCCCTCACCCAGCAGTGGAGTGAGCAAGGCACGGGGCAGCACGTGAGAGGATCGCGACCCGCTACTCACAGTTGGCCGTCGTGATGAACATGTCCTTGGCTCGGGGTGGGGAAGGGACTATACTCCTACTACTCCTACTACAGCCTCCTCTTGTACAGCTCGAGGCGATGTCCACTTGACCGTCGCAGCCGAAGGGCACGCGGTGTGTCTACGGACGCGAGGAGGCCAAAGGGTTGAGTGGTTAAAGGGTTGAGTGGCTAAAGTGTTGAGTGGCTAAATGGTTGAGTGGCTAAAGGGTTGAGTGGTTAAAGGGTGGAGTGGCTAAATGGTTGAGTGGTTAAATGGTTGAGTGGTTAAAGGGTGGAGTGGTTAAAGGGTTGAGTGGCTAAAAGGTTGAGTGGTTAAAGGGTTGAGTGGCTAAATGGTTGAGTGGCTAAAGTCAACTCTTAATTGAGAAGAACCTCGCGTTCGTCCCGGCAGGGTCAAACGCGCACTGTCGATTCAATAATAATCGATGTAAATGGACGTGTAGATCGGTGGATCGATTCGTGCGGGGGTGAACCTATCGTCTTGGACGAGTACAAATATGCGTGTTTGGTGACATCGCGGGCGAAAGAACGAATGCGACAACAAAACTGGACGGACAGTGCGAAGGAGACAGTGAAAGGTAAATTCTTAAGTTGCGTTATTTGCGCGGGAATCGAACCAAGTAGTTGGAATCGTGGCGGTGGTGGAATCGACCCTCGCACGTGGCTGCCGGGGTGGGGGGTGGGGGCTGTTGGGGTGAGTGGGCGGGGCGTAACGACCTCTCACCCCGGAAGTGAAACCGCCTTCACGTTCATAAAAAAACGTATCATTCAACAACCGTCACATTTTTTTCTTTTACAAAACGACAACTCCAATCTCACACCCCCCACACGCGTTTACACCATCTTTCAAGAAAGTTATAAATTAAGTTGTAGGTTTTGCGTCGCAACGATTTGGTGACGTAGCAGGAAGTGGCGGGTCGCTTGCGCGCCACGTCAGCTCGGTGAAGGAGGCGAGCGATGGCGGCGCCCCGCGCGTTCTCGCTGCGGCTGCTGCCGCTGCTGCTCGTGCTGAGCGTGGAGCTCGCCGACGTCGCCGCAATCTCCTTCTACCTGCCCGCCAACTCGCGCAAGTGCCTCAAGGAGGAGATCCACAAGGACGTGCTCGTCACGGGCGAGTACGACGTCTCGGAGCAGCCCAACGTCAAGGCCGACTTGAAGGTAGCGAGCGTTTGGGGCGAGGTGGAGAGGGCGGTGGGCTTCGGGGTGGGTGGGGAGAGGCCTCGATCGGGACCAGGGAGAGACGGAACGCGCCAGAGATTACGGGAAATCTCCCCACCCCCCACAGCCACCGATTTGCGAGGTTGGCTACGTACGGTGCGAAAGAAATGTGCAGGTGCTCGGTGGAACACCGCATGGCAGCGGCGGCGGCGGCTTGCGGAGGCCTTCATCCAGCATTGGCTTGAGCTTAACTGATGTATAATATAAATATGTTACATTCTGAAGCTCGGTAGGCTTCAGTAGAGTTTTTGAAGTGAATTTGAAGAGTTTTCGGGAGTAAACTGGACAGTTAACTTGACCAGAATTGTGGCAATTGCATGAGGTGTCCCGGCACCTCCATGTGGTGCACTTGATCACAGCTGGAGTCGATTATTATTCTGTAGCAGCGTCATTAGCAGACATTACATTTACACTGCGATGGTGACCCATTGAGTGGCAGCATTACAGATGCCATTGGTCCCAGGTCTGCTCCTGATTACGTTTTTCCGAGTATCCACTGCCACCGCCCCCATGTTCAAATGCGCTGCTGGATGAATGCGTCTCCAAACCAGCAGCCGTCACGATGTTAATACGTAACAACACCCTGCACACACGAGATCCTTTCATATCCCCAATCTCCGCTTGGGACGTGTCTCTCGTACTCCACGTTCCTCGGCTGCCACTCCCCCGTCCATCAATCTCGACCACCGGCCATCATTCATTGAGGCCGCCACGTGTCCATCCCAATGCCCACCTTTTCTGAAACGTTTAAAGTTGTGTAATTCACCTTCGTGTGTGCGGTGCGATCCCACACAAAAGATTGCTGCTTTCTTACAGGTCAAACATGGAGATGGGGCTCTCCTATTTTGGATTTCCTAGCCTGCACAAGCGCGGCGGCGCGCATCAGCGTCTGTGAATGGCTGGAGAGATCGTGCGCTCTCGGCTTTGACCAATGGGAAGCTGTGATGCGCGCCCCGCCGCTTATCCGCTTTATAGTTTACAAAAAGTGATGGATTCACGTTCTTAGCGTTCTAGTACAATTGTAATGCTGGTTTATACGGCGTCCAACTGCATATTAACATGCTTTACATACATAAACATTGGGGTTGATTATTGCCCATACAGATGCAGTCATAAGCCTGGGGCTTGAACAGAGGGGAGTCGTGAACTTGGAATGACGAGCATGGTGAAGTATGGTCTAGGTCAGGGGTCGGCAACCTACGGCTCCGGAGCCGCATGCGGCTCTTTACGGGCTGCTTCTTGACGATGAGTACGTATGTACTCAGATGCATTGCGGCTCTTGAAATACTGAATTTTGTACCGAATTGGAAAGAAATGGCTCTTCTTGTTATTTTGGTTGCCGACCCCTGGTCTAGGTAAAACATCAAAATTAATAAAATAAAATAAAGATCACGACGTTTCGGAGGCAACACAAGTCTCCGTCATCAGGTGGGACAGTCACAGCCAGATTAGCTGCATCAAGTGAGGCAATGATTCAAGATGTAATCCCTGAATCATTGCCTCACTTGATGCAGCTAATCTGGCTGTGACTGTCCCACCTGATGACGGAGACTTGTGTTGCCTCCGAAACGTCGTGATCTTTATTTTATTTTATTATTTTTTATTAATTTTGATGTTTTACCTACGTGACTTTACCGAAAACACCTAAGAATATGATTCCTTGCAGTCACGAAAGCTTCAAGTCTAGAAGTATGGTCTAATGACCGCCATGCCCCACCTTGCGTATGGATGTCATCATCCAGCAGTGGATTGACAAAAGGGCTGTAACATGTGCCGAAGAACACACGAGAGACTGCCTTTGCAATGGTGTTTAAACGTGTGTAGTAGACTTAACGATTTTTGGGATCGGCCATTCAAAGCAAAGAACAGGTTACTCCAGTCAAGAGATGGGAACTCTACAATGTGGTGTTAGGAAACCTAAAGGCTTGAATACCGACCATTGCGTCACTGTCATTGTGCCCCCATCTGGTGTTGTAAGTTGTTTGACGAGTTAGGTTTAGGGAAGCATTTCCTAATACGTCTTGTTAATTTGTTTATTTAGTTTATGCGTAAGATTTTAATGTTGTTAATGTCACAAGTTCGTCCACTTGTGGAATTGCTCTGTGTATTGTTACAAAGTGTTGAGTGGTTTGCCCCTGAGATGGTGGGATGCATGAGTCAATAATGACACGTGTATTCTCCAGCGCTCGAGTCGAGTGGTACTGCTTATCCGGATGGTTATTGATTGTAATTTAGATTCATTTCAACATCGATAATCCTGGGGGCCATTTCATGTTGCGCTAAGAGTGGCCGATGTTTGAGAAACATCTTTCACTACAGTGTTCTTACATCATGATGAAACACAAACATGCTTTTGTTTTCATTTTTTGCTCATTGTGACCATCTCTAACTTTTCTATTGGCAGGTCACCGACTCTTCAGGGCACACTCTTTACTCGAAAGAGGATGCTTCCAAGGGAAAGTTTGCCTTTACAACTGACGATTATGACATGTTTGAGATCTGCTTTGAGAGCAAGCTTCCAATGGGTAAGACATTTGTAAGTTTTGTCCCACATTCACTTTTTTGTTCTTGTAGGATATGTTTACTATTAAATGCAAACTATATATTTATGTTACGTAATATTTCCCCAGTTTTGTGCCAGTTGTGCTATTGACACCATGTCATGAAACACAGTATTTGTTTTAACTCTTTCAGAGCACCGCAACCTTTCCTTTTAGAGAACGGCCCATATAAACTGATACCACAGAGCTACTATTGAAGTCTCTGGCCCACAAAGTAGGGGGCAGGACTTGCCCACTAGCCTTGGTAAAAGCAATACTGTTCATCTCATGACGAACGTTTTTTTATTTTTCAGGATTTTAAATGTACACAAATTAAGTGCAGAATTAAAATCTGTGTGTTTTTTTACGCATTCATTGGTGACCAGGCTGAGAGACCATCAACTCATTAGACTTGAAAATCCACCTTAGTAACAGGAGGTTGAGATTGAATTTAGAATCTCAACAGAACCAACTCAACAATTGGACCTCTTGAGTCACCCAGCCACCTCCATAAATGTCAAAACCAAGAGTTTAATATTCTACGAACACGAGCTGGTGCTGAACTCACTTCACCCAAGTGGCTAGTGTTTGAGTCAAAACTTAATGGCCAGCTCGCTGGCAAGTGCATTGATATGTTAATCTCTGCAGTTGCGTCTAAACAACTCTACTGCACGGTCATAACATCTTGTGTTTCACTTAACGTTTCCCAGGAATTGGAAGAGTCCCTGATCAGTTTGTGACTCTCAACACCAAACATGGAGTGGAGGCCAAGAACTATGAGGATGTAAGTTCACTCCAAAGTTGTCTCGTCTGCTCAGAACTGCTTTTTGTGTTTAGTTTGTTGTCCTTCCCCCGATTAGCACGGTTGGCTACGTACGGTGCGAAAGAAGTTCAACATGAATGTGTTCAATATCGGGTAGACAATAATGCACCTCGAGTTCTCTGCACAAGGGCAGGTCCGCGGTTAAAGCTCCCTCCCATCTCATTCCACCCCCATAGTCACATCACAATGCCCCACTTAACTCTCAAGTCTTTGCACCTTTATTCGACAAGGGGCGTTAAAGTGGTTTCCCCTTTTCTTCCTCAACAGTGTTTTGTAGGTTACACCATTTAAACAATTAAAGACAATTCTTATGCTTTTGATATATGAGTAAACACTTGGATGTGGAATTGTGGAATAACGTTTTTTTTTTCATTTCATTAAATGTAATGTTCATTTGTACAGTAAATGGATGATGTGTTTATGAATATTGGACATTTGGTTCAATTGCTAAAACAATTTTGCATGGGCTTCGAGATGTCAATGACCTGAAGAGCTATCTGATGGTGATTATGATCAGATTGCCAAGGCGGAGAAGCTCAAACCACTGGAGGTGGAGCTGCGGCGACTAGAGGATCTGTCCGAGTCAATTGTCAACGACTTTGCCTACATGAAGGCTCGTGAGGAGGAGATGCGTGACACAAACGGTGAGAGAAGATCGGTGCTGTACACTGGTCTGTCTAGATTTGAAGCTTTCGTGACTGCAAGGATTCATACTCTTAGGTTTTTTTCGGTAAAGTCACGTAGGTAATTTTTTTTTTTAACTTAACTTGTATTTAAGAGCTTATTTCTTGGAATTCTGCCTCACTTGATACAGTAAATCTAACTGTGGCGGTCCCACCTGATGACGGAGACTTGTGTTGCCTTCGAAACGTCGTGATTTATTATTGTATTTC